TTTCCTCAAAGGATTACAAAATATACTGGCAACGCTCATGTCTACAGGTGAGTTAAGGAACAGATAATCCAAAGCATGGGATAATCCAGAGGCTTCTGGCTTTCCTCCTGCTGAAGAGCCCTATGCCGTGCCTCAGGGCCTTTGCATCTGCTCTTTCCTGTCCCTGGACTCATCTCTGTGCTATATATATCTTTATGCTGGTTAATTGGAACTCGTCCCTCAGGTCTCAGCTCAGACATTGTGTCTCCCTGAAAGCCTTCCCTCACCCTCTGAGCTTGAACTAGACACCCCTCCTGCAGGGTGTCCTATCATGTTAGAATTAGGCACTCACCCCTGAAATGTCATAGTCCCCTGGGTCTCTGTCTCTCACTACATCATGTCTGTCGTCCCCCTGCCATACCTCAGCCCCTAGAACAGTGCCTGCCAAAAGTTGCACGACTGACTGAATGAGTTGTGTCTAATTGGTTTGGGTCTAGAAATGGTTGGTGACTTTAGAAGCAGATAGTAATTTATACTGCAGAATTACGTTTTGCCGATACAGGTTACCACTGTGAGCGGTCCTTATAACAGCACACAATAGGGAATAGTGGAGAGAAGCAGCTGGAGATTCCAGTTTTGCTCTGACCCCTCTGGCCTGCCAAACTCACTCAGAGCCTGTCTTTGAATAAGCAGGGCCTTTTCTGAAGGGTTCCGGTTGTCAGTTTCAGAGCAGAATTGCTTCCCTGTGACTTTTTAACATTTGGGTAGGCTGTTTGATCCTCCCGGGGACCCAGTTCCAGCACCTCTAGAATTCGCCCTGATCACCCCTCCCAGCCCCCCACTCCCACCTTCCACGCCCCTTCAAGCCCCCTCACGTGGGTATTCCGGCCTCTGCCTGTCCTTAAATTGAATTATCTACAGGGTCTTGGTTTTCTCCTGTGCTCCTTGCAGAGATCTGCCCTCTCTCCCTGTGCCACCTCAGCCCTCTGTCCTACCTCCCACCTATGTCTTGTGAATGTTCTTTGGTCCCATGTCTGTACCCTGAGGGGTTGTTTATGTCCACTGCAACAGAGGAGGTGCGGTAAAGACAGCTGCATTGAAGTGGGGGTGGAAGGGGGAGGAGGATTAATTATCACAGGGATGTTTGCTTGGAGTTTTAATTAGCCTGCCGTTCCTTACTTCCCCTTTTCGTTCTTTTTTCTTTTCCCCAGCTCAGAACATCCACGTAGAATGTACTTTAGAAACTTGGAACGTTAGGTTTTAACATTCTGCACCCAGAGCCTCAGTGTAATAAATAAATCAGTAAGCTGATTGCCTCAAGTAGTTGGATTGCCAAAGCATTGGGGTAACTTTGGTTCTTCAGTGAATGATCATTTCATGCTAGGGAACAAGGGGTGAATGTGGGTGTAGGGCTTCTCCTGGCCTCTGATTCATAACCCTGACCTGGGAAGTCATTATTCCCAGAGCTGTGTGTAACTTACAAACAGCCTGCCATATGCTCTGTATCCTCCCCTCTGATAGTTTCCCCAAGTTCTGTGTCATAAATACATTTGTCGTTTGCCAGAAGAGGCTTGGGTTTGTTTTGAATCTAACAGGCCCTCTTACACCACACTCTTAAATCTCACTAACAGATCATTTATACCAAAAATGCTACCTTGACAGGAAGAAAGATTGTATGGTTTTCAATTTGGGTTGAAAATCAAATCCAAGTTATAACAACACTGAGACTTCCTGGACCCTATAGGTTAATCATGATTATCTTACCGTGAAATACTTGGTATAGTAGGAACTACTCTCTATTTATTGTTTCTGTCAAAACCTTAGATTGGAAAACTTTTTCCAGTGGGCATGTTGTAATTTCTAAAGATGCACTTATTAATTTCATGGTGTGTTTCAACCATAATATGGTTGTCCTTCTATTTTATGCAATAGACTGAATAGTATGTTAAATACACATGAAGAACTATTGTTTTACTTTCTGGGTTCTTTTCTAGTTGGAAAAACTACTCCAAATTTGTTTGAGAAGTATAATGCTCATTCATTAGGTTTTGTTTAAATGCAGGACAATTGAACCTTGAAGAATGTGGGGTTAGGGGCGCTGACCCTCTGTGCACTTGAAAATCCACGTATAACTTTTGATCCCCCAAAACTTAACTACTAATAGCCTACTGTTGACCAAGCCTTACTGATAACATAAAAAATAAATTAACTTGTGTTTTGTATGTTATATGTGTTATAGACTATATTCTTACAACAAAGTAAGCTAGAGAAAAGAAAATGTTATTAAGAAAACCATAAGGAAGAGAGAATGCATTTACAGTGCTATACTGTAGTTATCCAAAAAATCCACGTATAAGTGGACCTGCGCAGCTCAAACCCGTGTTGTTCAAGGTTCAGCTCTAATCTTAATGAGAATCAGGCAAGATTACCCATGGTCTTGCACTTTAGTAGCTCTGGCTTAGTTATACTACATTTCATCCCAATAGGAGGCTGTGAGATGTGTCAATTCTACATGTCCTCACTGATACTCCAAACACCCAGGAAAATCTGCTCCTGCTAGAACCCCTCGTCGCTCTTTCTTGTCCCATTCCTTCAGAGCAGGAAGTGGGGTGCCAGCTCAGAGCTGGGGTCATTTGTGATGTTCTGCTGGAATATTAGGTAACTTAGTAATTTCTCACAGGCTTCTCAGCCCAGAGTTCCATGATTCTGTGTGTTCTGGTTATCTATTGCTGCATAATAAACCTCCCCTAAATTTAATGGTGTAAGAAATTGATAACTGTTTCTCACCGTTCTGTGGGGTGTTTAGCTAAGTTGGTTGCTTCTGACTTGGGCTTTCTGCATGTGGCTTCACACCAGCATTTGCCGGGGCTGCAGGCATCCAAAGGCTTGAGTGGGCTGGCCAGCCGGGATGGCTCATTTCCATGACTGGCAGAAGCTGGCTGTCAGCTGAGAGCTCAGCTGGGCTGCCCACCAGAGCACTGATATGTGACCTCTGGTGTGGCCTGTTCTTCTCAAAGCATGGTAATTGGATTCTAAGAAGGAGCATTCTACCAGTAAGCGTTCCAAGAGACCCAGGCAGAAGCTGCAAGGTTTTTTATGATCTGGCCTCGAAATCCCAGAACATCACTTCTGCCGCACTCCAGAGAAGGGTCCAAGGCGAGTCCAGGTTCAAGGGTAAGGAAATTAGGCTTTGCCTCTTGATGCATCTTGACCATCTACCATTCTGTGTGTCGGAAGAGCTTTCTCTAGAAGAATAAGATTACATAAAAATGAAAGGCATGGGAGGCATTGCAGTGAAGGGTAGGGAAGTTATGGGATGCTTCCTATGTATGAATGAATGGCCAGCCTTGTTGGTTAGAACTCAGTACCAGGGAACCCACACTGAGTGAGCCCATCTCCATGGAAGCTGGTAGCATCCCACAGAGAGAAGCATTCCCATCCAGTGGCCCCAGCCCTAAAGTAACCCACTCATAGTACAGATGATTGAAAAATACCTGGGAAGGGAATTTAACTAGCGCAGTTTAAAAGGCATTTTTCCCTAAAACTCCCCCCATGCATGCATCTTGCTCATACTGAGTAATAAAACTATCTTCATAAATCAGAACTGTACATTACCTCATAAACACATAGGAAACTGTGGAGTAATGTGTCTGGTACAGTTGATTTCTCGCTCACGCCGTGGAGGTGCTTAGAGAAGGCTATGCCCATGGAGTACCTCGTATCCTTAGAACGGATTCTTTGGTGTTTGAGAAAAGATCAAGTTCTGTCCAGGTGCTTGGAAGTCTAATCACCTCCTTGGCCTGAATGAGGAAAACACCTGCCCTATTAATCATTCTGAGTCAGGGGTACCTAGGTTCCTGCAGTGGAGTGTGGCTTGTCTGGATGCATGGGCCGACAGCTCTCCTGAGGGTGATGAGGGTTACTTTCCACCCTCGTAGCATTGTTTATTGCCCCCTGCATACTCCCCTCTGGCTCCCTGTGGATTCAAATTTGTGTTTATCTGTGTTGAAAATTTAGAGGCAAGATAAACAACATTTCAAGCTATTTATAACCAGAGGCTGTGCCAGGAATAAATTAGGCTTTGCATTAGACATACGTTAAAATGTTGGACTCGGGGAAATGTAGGGAGAATATCCCTTGATGTGAAAAGCGGATATTTAGAGGAGACTGATAGCAGTTTGACCCAGAATATGGTTATATGTACTCTGTTGGCTTATTAAGTACACTCTTGCAGAATGCCAGGTACGGAGGGGCTTGGAGATACCATGTGGATGGGGCCCATGTTTTTACACTCCCAGGAGGGCCTTTGGCAAGAGTGAGGAACATGGAAGGAGGTAGTGGGGGAGGGGGAGGAATAAGGCACCATACAAACATAGACCCTATGGCCGTGGACAGAGTATGGAAGAGAATGAACTCCACCCCTACGTGCCTTTTTCCGCATGGATCATCCTAAACAGAGGAAACCTCTCCTGATCTTCAGCTCCCGATGGAGAGTCCTCACCTTCTCCATACTGTTCACCTCTCTCTCAGTCAGTCCCACAAATGGAGATCCACAGTTCACCCTCCTTCCTTCCTTCTCTTTTGCCTGCACTTACTGGCAGAACTCCTACTCGGCGCCGGACGCGGTGTGACGTGGAGGGAACTCTCACGTTGGGAGTTACACAATAAACAAGGACCCAGACAAATCATGTGATTATGGATTATGATTGGTGTTTTGGGAAAATGGGGGAGTGATAAAGAATAACAGGGGGTTCCCACTTTGGATAAGATGTTCAAGGGGTAGCACCCATGACCCCAACGTCATTGGCTAAACCTTAACACGTATTATATAGTATTTTAAAGTTTCTTAAATTGCATGCTGTTAAGGTTCAAAATAAAACCTGTTTTTGTTTTTTGTTTTTTCCTTTCCAAGCCCATGTTGCAGAATGTCAAATGGAAATTTGGGAGACAGGGGGAAGCCAGCCTGGATGGCCAGATGCCATCTGGTTGACACTTTCTTCACCAGCACTTTCTCTCCCTAGGGAAAGGAGACGTGTTTGGAGATGTGTTCTGGAAGGAAGCCACCCTGGCCCAGTCCTGTGCCAATGTTAGGGCCCTGACCTACTGCGACCTGCATGTGATCAAACGGGATGCCCTGCAGAAAGTGCTGGAATTCTACACGGCCTTTTCCCACTCCTTCTCCAGGAATCTCATTCTTACCTATAACTTGAGGAAGAGGGTAAGCTGACAGTTTGGGTTTCTTCTCCACCAAGCGCCGTTTCTGCACACTTAGCATAACCACACGGGCCAGGAAGAGTCCTCTCGCAGTTTCTGTAAGGGGAGCAGTTGTTTCTCTAGAGGTTCTGAGCATGGCTTGCTCTTCAGAGCTTTTGCTATGAAATAAGGGCCAGAGGAATGTTGCTAGATTAAAAGGCGGATTCATTTTGCTGCAGCAGGGATTTGTTCGTGACTGTGTCCACGCGCTCTCCCCCCAGCAATAGCTAGACCTTCTAGCATTTTGAAAAGATCAGTAAAAAAAGGTCATGAGTCAGTAAAATGGCTGAGGGGGGCTACTTAATTAAAGTAAACTGAATTCTTCCTGGTGACTGGGACTCACTAAATGGTGTGAGGCCATTAGTCAGCTGGTAATAATTTTTAAAAGCTATGAAGATGAGTCAGTTGGGTCCAGAAAATCAGAAAGGTATGGAATCTGATTGCCTAGAGAATATCGTGTAGACACCGGCCAGTTTAATGGGTTGAGAAATGATTAGTAGTTTTAAGAACTGGAGAAGATTTCTTGTCTGAAATGGTTTCATTCACCCTCAAATCATCAGGATTGCTCCATCTGTCTCTGTGAGGGTTAAAGTATTCGTTCGTCTTGTACTCTTGAGGTTTTTCATGACTGATTTCTTGCACGTCTTCTATCTCTCTTAGTGAACAAGGTAGCTCTGACCTATAGGAACCATGTGGAAGGATTGTCATAGGAATCTTTCCAAAAATGACTTCATAATCTTTCCTCCAACATTGTTCTTCGTCTTGTGGTCCTTGTCTCTGTGGATGGCGTATCACTCTGGGGTTCCAAGTTAGAAACGCTGGAATCATGGCTGATGCTTCTCCCCCTCTCCCATGTCTCAGGTTGCTCAGCAAATCCTCTTGGTTCCCCCTAAGCTCTCAAACCTGGGTCCACACTTTACTTCCATCCTTGGGGCCCACCCTGAGCTCTCGGGACACAGCACCCCAATACAGACCTTCCCTGAGTCCTGCCCCACACAGTACGCTTCTGCCTTGTGTCACTCCTCAATGTGGTATTTCCTCCTTTGGCCAATTGTGTGGCCTTAAAAACTAATTGGATCATGTCACTTGCTTTGTAAAGACTTTTTGCCCCCACCCTAACTTTAGGATAATGTCTGCACACCTCAGGATGGCCTATGTAGGCTTTTCACATCTGGCCCCAACTTAATCCCCAAGGCCCAACCTCAGCCACTCTTCCCATGCCCCCCTCTGCTACCCGGACCATTCCCAGCGTGAGAGCTCTCTAGAGCTCTGCAGAGCCCTGGGCCTCTGCGTGTGGCTTCCTCAGCCTGTCCTTCTGTTTTCTCCTGCTGTGTGTGACAAATGCCTGTTAACCCTTAAGACGGCCGAAATGTTTATTTGTTCATTCATCAAACCCAGTATGCACCAGCTGAATGAGACTTGACATATAAAGCTGAATCACACTCAGGTCCCAATCTCCTGCAACCTAAAATCTAACAGAGAAGATCAACCCAGGAAGGGTAGATGCAGTACATGATGCGAAGTACAATGAGTGTGATTTATATGAGCTATTGTGGGAACGTGAAGGTGGAGGGCAGCTGAAGGGGGAGTTGGGAAGAAAGTGTTGTGGCAGGGGGTGCGGATACTTGAGCTGAGTCTTAAAGGATTGAGTCTGCCAAACAAAGAGAGGGGGCAGGTGTTGTATTTGGAGGGGCAGTTTGAGTAAAGGCACCGAGGAAGGAAATAGACTTTTGTCTTTCAAGTTCCTCGTACAAGGTTCCAAAGGCCTATCATTGGGTTGCCCCAACAATATGCTCCCACCTATTTTATTTTACTTTGAGAGAGAGTGAGAGAGAGCACAAGCAGCGGGTGGGCCAGAGGGAGAGAGAGAATCTTAAGTGGGCTCCACACTCAGTGCGTGGAGTCTGACGCAGGGCTCGATCTCACGACCCTGAGATCATGACCTGAGCCGAAATCAAGAGTCAGAGGCTCAGCCAGCTGAGCCACCCAGGCGCCCCTGCTTCCACCTGTTTTAAAAATCCCTTAATTGTATTGTCGTGTGTGAGTCCCTGCTCAGAGACCTGGGAGGGCAAGGTCTCGGTGCCTTGGTATCCCCAGCGCCTAACCCAGTACAGAGGATTAATAAACATTTGGGGGTGCAAGGACAGAAAGATGGGATCTCTGGGCCTCAGTTTCCACATTGTGAAATGTGAGGTTGTGGCTGGATCATTTGTATTGGTCTGTGATTTGAAAGCTGGTCATTCAAATTCTAGTGGGGAATGGGCAGTGGTGGAGAAGTGTGCATTCACGGTTCTTCCTTGTTTATTTGGGAGCATGGAATGATTTCTGGTCGTCCTTTTAGCCACGTGGATTCTTCTAAAGTCTGTTTTTTTTTTAATTTTTTCCTTCTTTTTATGAAAGCAAGTTGATTATAATCAGCTTTCAGTGTTGCTGATAATATAGGTTGAAAAAAAGCGCAGTTTGGGTTATTTGGAGTAGTAATCATTTTGGAATAATTGTGGATCAAATAAATCTGTCTTAAAAAAACAAGGACAACAACAAAAACAACAGTGCCTCAGTGGTCAGATTGTTTTTGTAACTGCAGAGTGATTGACGACTCTTGCAGAAAGGAAGCCTCGGGGGCGGCATTTTTGAAGGGCTGATGGAGAGGAGGATTGGGCAGGGTCTGTGTGGCCACAAGCATCCAAGCTGTAGGAGGTATGAGAAAGAACTTGGGAAAGATCAGAGGTGTCCAAGCAGGCAGCGCCGAGTGGTCCTTAAGATATTTAGGCACTCCCTAGATACCCCTCAGACATGTTGTGGAGGGGACTGAGGCACCCAATGGAGAGTCACATCAGTTGACCTTCAAAAGTCCTTCCAGTTGCAAGGGCCTATGAGTCTGGTATGGATCCAAGACAATTTTAGTGAGATCCTCTTCCTTTATAGGAAGAGGTAGCCATTCTTTTTCTTGGAAAAAAGAGGCTTGTCATTTTGGTGTTGCCATTGTAATTGCTCATTGTGTCCTTCTGAGAATTAATTCATAGTTACATAGGGCATAGAAGACAAGAACATTACATGCATGAATTATTCTTGTAGCTATTTTTTTTTTTTCTGGCAAAGTAAAGTGTATTCTTGTGGCTGTTTCTGTCTTGGCAAAATCGAGTGTTATTTGCAAAGATTCCTGAGAACAGAGTGCCTTTGACATCTGCTTGGGGAGTTGTGTGGTTCTGTCGATGTCCTCTAGTGCACAGCAAAAACTTGGAGCCAGAAGGTGTGTCTGCGGCCATCCAGTCTGTCCTCCATTTTCCCACCACCCTCATTTCACAAATAGGACCTTTCAGAGAAAGGTCACAGAGTTGGGTCAGTAACGAAAGAATTGGAGCCGGAAATGACTCAATGCGCAGGCCTCTTGCTGGTTCTCCCAGCTTCATGGCCTCCCCTGGCCTTTGCATTCTTACCCTTACCCCCGTATCCCCAAATCCATGTGTGTGAGCACCACCCTGCTCTCGGCACCACTCTTGGGACCCAACTCAGGAAGGGACATGTCACCTTCCTCGGTTTCCTCCAAAGACACCTGAAGTCCTAGGCAAGGGTGAAAGAGGCAGAACCCGGGAGCCAGTCTAGCATTTTCCTTGCCTTTGGGCACCGAGCCAGATGAGACCTGGGTCTGTGTCCCGCCTCTGCCACTTAGTGCTTCTGCAAGTTGTAAGTGCTTCCCCATCTGTAAAATGAGGGCAATGAGAAGTTCTACCTTGTAGCGCAATTGTGAGGATGAAATAAGATAGTTCCGGCAAAGCTCGCATACAGGTTCTTGCACACGGTACGTGCTCCATTCCGTTATCATTTTGTTTCATCCACTTGACACCCTGCTCCCCTCTACTCTTTATTATCATGTGCCTTTTGGAAAATAAGAAGAAGGCAGTTCTTCTGCCTTTGCTTATAGAGGGTACTCGCTCTGCAGAACGTTCTGCAGGGCGGATGTTGTCTCCGCACCTCTTGCCGCCCAGGAGGTGTTGGCTGCTGTGGAATGCTGACATGCTGCCGGCCCCACTGTCTCGTCAGCTCCCCGAGTAGAGACGTCAGCACTCACTCTTTTCGCTAGTTTCATTCACGGAGGGAGAAAGTAGGCCGTTCCAGCATCTTAGTTCCGTCACCAGGGAGTCAGGGGTTTGCCAAGAGGAAAGCACCGCATCCTTGATTCTTCTGAGGACGTGGCACGTAGTTGTCCATGAAAAGTAAGGGACAGTGGAGCCTTCCTCATCCCAGACCCATGGCATTCTAGGGGACAAGGCTCTCTGGGCATTTCCCTCCAGGCTCTGGGTGATCTTTTCTCTGCACTCAGAGCTTCTCACAACACTGATAATAACATTATCATCAGCTCCCGATATTGTGCGAGCGGCAACCTCCAGCACAAAGTTAGGCTGTGTCTTAGGTTAGATTATTCAGTCCTGAGAACAGCCTCATGGCATTATAGTGTTAGTCCCATTTCTCAAAGGAATAAACTAGGACCCTGGGGAGAAGAGAATCACTTCTCCAAGGTCACCCAGCCAAGAAGCGGCAGGTTCCAAACCCCACACGTGTCCCTGATGCTAAGCAGCGTTGTGTCGTCCAGTAAAGGCTGACTCTCAGCTTTTCCTGTGTTAGCGTTCTTTGGCTTCTGCTTTCTCCTGGTTTATTGACTTTTCAGAGGTGGCACAGATTACCTCCAAAGTATCTTCACTATCTCCCAGCAGACTCAGAAACTTGTGCAGTAAAAAGGAAGGGAGGGAGGGAGGGAGGGAGGGAGGAAGGAAGGAAGGAACTAATTTGTATAGTGAATCATAGTAACATCCCAGTTTGGGAGACATGAGAATTTTCTCCCTCAGAGTGATGACCATACCATGGCCAGGTGTGCGGGAGAGGCATAGTGGTTAGGTTAGGCAGTAGGCTAACCTGGCCATGATATTAGTAACTTAACTAAACAGAGCACCAGCTTTGGGGTGAGGA